ATCTGGGGCTTTGGCAACCCTTACACCAGCTGCTGCAGGACTTGGCCAGACTTCAGACCCCCAGGGACCTCACTCACCTCAAGGGAGATTAGAGGAAATCCCTCATGCTATCCTCCCCCATGGGAAAAGGCTGAGCAGTGGGCATGTTCTCTCCTTGCAAGCTCTCCTAGTAGTGTGAATGGGGTGGAGGCCACAGCCCAGCATCTCTCACGGATGGACAGACTGCAGAGCACCTGGGCTCCAGCTTTTCCAGAGTGTCAATGCTCCTGGTGTAGTGGCCCTGGACATGTGTACCGCAGGTAGCTGGGCACTGACGGGGCTCCTGGAGAACACCCTAGCAGTCCCTTTGACTTTCTACAGAAAAACACTCTAGGAACTATAAAAAAGCTATAGAGAGGGAAGAGGGGTTGGGGGTTTAGATCAGTGGTAGAGCGCTTGTCTAGCAAGCACAAGGCCCTGGGTTCGGTCCTCAGCTCCAAGGGGGGCGGGGAGAGAGAGAAGAAATTGAATGAGGCTGTCCCAGGCCCTAGTAGGGATGGGGATGGGACCTTGAGGTGTGGTGGCAACTGTCTCTGGCAGGGATAATCTGCACAGCCTTGGTTCTTGCTGATGCTTGGTAGAAGCAGCCCGAACTAGGAAATGACACCCAAATGCCTACTTACCTTCTGGCCAGTGTGTGATGGACTAGCTTCACCCAACTCAGAAGTCCAACTTCCAGGGTTCTCCTAGGCATCCTTTGGCTTTTTTTTTTGTACACGGCAAGGCAGAACTTGAATTCAATTTCAAGCACAATCCCCGCGCCTCTTCCCACTCCTTTCCCCAAACAGGCCTCTTCCTTCCCAGCTGTGTTAGTGCTTCAGCGCCTGGAGCCTGACAAAGGCCCTGCAGACAGAAGGATGGACAACAGCCTGCTCCAGGAAGCTTATTAAACTGAAGTGTCCCTCCTGGGCCCAAGGGAAAAGCAGACAGCAGCAGGTGGTGTAGAAATACACCAGGGAGCTGGATCTGATGATTCAAACCTGAAATCCTAGCTTCTCGGTAGATAGGAAGATCCCAGGTTCAAAGCCTGCCCAAGCTACTCAGAATTCAAGAATTCCCTGGACACCTTAGCTCTTTTTTTTTTGGGGGGGGGGCAGGTGGCAGCAGGGGGCAGGGCCTATTATGTAGCTCTGGATGTCCTGGAATTCTTTATGTAGGCTAGATCCATCTGCCTCTGCCTCCTGAGTGCTGGGATGAAATGTATGAGCCACCATGCCCAACTTAAAACAAAAAACTAGCGCCTAGAATGTAGTTCAATGGTAGAGCACTAGGTGAGGATATAGCTCAGTTGGCAGACTGCTTGCCTAGCATCATGGGACCTTAGGTTCAATCCCCAGCAGCCCATAAACTAAGTATGGCAGTGAGGCTTGGGAGCCCAGCACTCAGGAGGTAGAGGAAGAAGAGTCAAGGTCTATCTCTCAGGCATACATTGAGACTCAAAAGACAGAAAAACAAAGAGAAATCCTGCATCGAGCAAAAAGCTCAGCTGTACCGTTATGGGCTTTGTCCTTCTGTGCTCTGGACCCGTACACTGAAAAGTTTCGCAGGGCTATGGTGCTTATTTGCATGGGGGAACTGAACATGCCTGACACTGGCCGAGCAGAGAAAAGAAGTCTTTTTTTTCTGTTCCAGGTCTGTTTCTTTAGAACCAAGGAGCTTTACAATTACAGCCTTTTCCTCTTTGCAGAAAGCCTCCTCAATGAGAGGTTTATAATCTCTTGTGGGTCCTGGAGGGCGCCATTCTGAGATGGCCAGAGGCCCTGGGGAGGAGGCAACACGTGCCTATGAAGGGGGCTGTGTGTGCAGCCTGGCATGGATTGAAGGGAAGATTGGACAAAGGCCCTGGAGCTTTGCTTTCTCTGGCCTATTTCAATCCAAACCACTCAGCACTGACCACTCACGCATGGCTGCCTCTAGGCACAAGCTTTCTCTTCCTTACTTAATATGCTCCAACCCAGCTACCACCTTGCCCTTGCAATCACTAAGAGCGAGCTGGCTTCAAATGCTTTGACATCTAAGGCTAAGAATGGAAACATACATGGCACATCTGCAGCCTCTGAATTGTGTTCTAAAACAGAAATGATGCCCCTTGGGAAAGACACTTACCTCTGCTGGCTCTGACAAAGGGAAGGAAGAAAAAGCAAGGGAGGGACTTCCCACAGGGCCTGCATCTAGGAAACACTCGTGCTAAGGCTCCCCCAGGTATACCGTGCAGGGCCTAGGAGCTAGGTAACCAATCTTCAGGAAGGAGTGTTACCTAACTCTCTCTTCTCAGATGTGCCCATCGGAGAACCTCTGGTGGACTCTGAGAATGCCATGGCCAGGGCTCGCAAATAGGATGATCACGTCCTGACGGCAGGGGTCCCGGCCAGCCCCGAAGCAGGACACCTTTCCCTGCGACGGTTTGAGGGACAGCCATTTCAGGCTTAACTCTGGCTCCCAGTGGAAGGAACAGTACAGTCTGGTTTCGGAATCTGACAAGTGAGCACAGGCTGGGTCCTCTCTTTCATCTGGAGAGGTGAGGCGCTACTGCAGTCTTCAGACACAAACTGCCCAGAGGCAGCTCTGAGGTTGACAAGTCCTCAGAGTCAGCCCTGTTTGGCAACTTTCCAAAGGCACACCTGGAGCATCCTCCAGGGAGTCAGGGAGTGAAGCGTGGGAACAGTGCCTGATGTGCCAGGAGGCCCCCCTTTCTCCTTCTACCCAGCAGGGAGAATGTTTGACAATGTCCACACAGCAAACTTCCGTATGTTCAACTAGGAACACACTTGCCCAGGATCATAAAAGGAGCTGGCTGTCCCTGTTTACAAAACAGGAGTGGCAGGGGCAGGAACGGCCAGATACAAGTGTGCAGAGGCCAGTGTGCCAGCCGGCCATGGTCCAACCCAGGCGGTGGCTTCCCTGGAGTGTGTCCCCATTTCCTGTGGCCCAGGGCCTGCCTGGCCTGGCAGCATTACCCTCTATCTGGAACCCAGCAGCCCCAACAGTTGCTGCTACAGGGCTGGCTCCTCCATGTCCAACAGCAGCTTTAATGACAGGCCCTGGCTGCCCCTGGGGTGCTGGCCAAGCCAATGCAGGAAGTTTCTTTCACTGTCTATGTTCCGGGGTAGGGAGCAGATGACACTGAGGGCAACATAGGCCCAGGGATGCAGCTCAGTTAGTTAGAATGCTTGCCTAGCAGTGTATGAGGTCCTGGGTTCAATCCTGAGCACCCCTTAAGACTAGGTGTACTGATGCATACTCGGACTCTTATAGGCAAGAAGACCAGCAGTTCAAAGTCTACAGCGCCTACAGTTTTAGGTCAGCCTAGCTAAGACCCTGTCAGAGAGGGACCAATACAAGCAGGAAATGGTAACCCATACCATACTCCCAACACTGTGGAGGCTAACACTGGATCAACAAGTTCAAGGCTAGACTGTGCTACCTAGTGAGGCCTTGTGTAAAAACAAAGAAAACAAAGGCCGGGAATGGTGCCTCACACCTTTAATCCCAGCACTCGGGAGGCAGAGGCTTCCAGGACAGGCAGGGACACAGAGAAAACCCATCTCAAACCACAGTTATGCTGAAGCAGCTCTCCTGCAGAAGACTTGCCTCCCCTGGACAGGACACAGCAAAGGCTTAGACAGTGACACCCCAGCACAGGCCTCGATCCCGAAGGTAGACCACCGTCAGCTTGAAGAAGGTGCAGAGGTGCCAGATGTGATAATGGTTCCACCACTCCTTCCTACAACTTGCCAAGTGGTAACTTGGCTCAGTACAACTGGTTCTGGAGTTTGTGGGGGACACACAGAGACAACTGTTTCTAGTTCTCAACTCTTGAACAATTATTACTTGTAAAACTTCAACAATCCAGCTGGGTGGTGGTAGCGCACACCTTTAATCCCGGTACTGGGGAGGCAGAGCCAGGTGAATCTCTGAGCTTGAGGCCAGCCTGGTCTACAGAGGGAGATCCAGGACGGGTACCAAAACTACACAGAGAAACCCTGTCTTGAAAAAACAACAAAAAACTTCAACAATCCATGAACAATAAAAAAAAAAAACCACCCCTCTCTAGCCAAGAATTACCAATGAAGCACCAAGAGGCACCCTGGCGCCTGCACATCCTTGACTGTGCAGTCACAGAGAAGTTTCTGACGTTATTGGCAATGGAAATCAAAACAATTGAAGCTGCCCTTCGGGGGCAAGGACTGCCCATCAGAAAGGCAAAAATCTCCCGCACACATTCTAACCGCGTTTTGAATGCCTTTCAGCACGTCTCTGCTGATAAACAAGGGCTCAAGCCGTGTGTTGTTTAGTCACTGGCTCTGGTGATACGGGCTAAAGGGGAAGATCTATGAAAGAGGTTAATGAACACCTGGCTGGCCGGCCAGCCACCGCCACAGCCTGCAGAATGGAATGTTTAAGTACTCGGTGAAGGCAGAGCAGAGGCTTCCGGATCCCTCAGCGGGCTTTCAGACTGTGCATGAACACCTAATCCTCCAGAAGCTGGGGTGAGCAGGGCAGGACGTGCTCAGAGATGAGGAAACAGAGACCACGGTCAGCAGCTTTCCTTGCTAACTAACAAAGTAAAAGGTAGAATTACTGGGAATCCATGTGGACCCTTCCTATACACCCAGGCCCACGTGTCAGGGTTAGGCACACCTCCACCATCAAGAAAGAGTTCCCTAAGGAGAACTGTTCAGTGTTGTCCACCCTTTCATGTTATGGGGCCTGAACAGATTCCTGATCAGCACTGTTAACATACCTGCACTCTGCCCTACCACCCTGTACCCTGACTACCCTTGAGCACTTGGTGACCTGCCTGGCTACGACAGAACAGGTAATACAGGCTTCCCTGCTCTGTACAGAGACAAACCATCCCTTAGGTATCAAAAGCAGTGGCTGCTGTTGATCAGGATCTGATCAGACACAGGACGGAAGACTGACAGGTGAGAGGACAAAGAACTCACTCTGGACTAACATCCGTGGAAAGAGACAAGTGTCTTTAATTTGGCAGAAAGGTTGACAGTGATTCTCAACAATAAAGTTCATAAATACAGAAAACAAAGTTCTCTCAGGGAATGAAGACATCAAATGATAGCCTACATGTCTGGTAGTGGCAATAACCGTTTCAGCATAGGGAACTCTACACATTTGCTTGGGATTAAAGAATGATCAGAAATACAGACGGGAGCTGGGGATGTAGGTCAGTAAGCAGAGTATTTGTCTAGCCTGCACGATGCCCTGTGCTCAGGTCTCAGCGCACCACAGGAAACCTGTCAGTGGCCATATGCCTGCAATCCCAGCACCTGGGAGGAAGTAGGAAGATCAGAAGTTCAAGGGTATCCTGTTACAGTGAGTCTGAGGCCAACCTGGTTACAGGAGTCCCTGTCTGGGAAAGAAAAAGGAAACAAAGGAGAAGCCTATAGAGTATCATAATCTGGTTTAATGCCATTTCTGAAAGCAGCTTTTTAGAACCCACTTAATGCCATTTAGAACCCAGTAGAACAGCTAGCCTATGTTTTAAGGCCACCCCATCTCAGAAGCCAACCAAACAGCACGTATTAGTAAGCAGGAACTGTTAAATACACGTGCATTTTCTCCAAAATTTGTCTACTTCAAGCTGTGAAGAAGCAGCAGCCCAGGGATTCCAAGCTGCTCGGGAGTGGCCTTCTTTCTGGGGCCTGGGCTGCAGCTCCAATAAGACTCTGCAGTGTGAGGGACGATGGCTGAGTTTGCGGGGAGTCGGAGTGGAAGCACGGAGTCGCTGAAACTGGGTCTACCCCACCTGCGTCTGCCTCAGTTAATGGTTGTTCCTTTGTTAACATGATGTAAAGAAACGGAGGCTGCCTATGCAACAAACCTTCCAAGCCGTCCACTGCAACCTGGGAAAAGCCTATCAGATTTCTACAACTACTGGCTCGTCGGCATCCAATCCCAGGAAGAGGGGAGAAACCTTTTGTCACTTATGCCCACCACCACCTGTGTGTGACGCTGAGACTCTGCCAGTGCCTTGTCACAGAGCCACTGGCTCCAGGCTTCTTTGCAAGGATGTAAAGGTCATTTGTCAAACACTTGGTGACCTTTTAAGTGTCGTGGCCTTGGGAAAGAGCTCTTTTGAGTGAGGCTTGGTCCCATTTCCGTGGTGTTCAAAAGGACAGAACTGGAAACACAGGTCACTTGAGTCCAAGTGTTCCCAGGCATGGGCTCCTAGGGTAGCTTTCCGGGAAGTGTGGAAGGTGTGTAACTCTTCCGGCCCTGCACAGGGCTCTTCACCTCCTCTAGCACACCAACTCTTCACTGCAGACACAAACACTACACTGGAGTTTTACCTAGCAGCCATGAACACTGACGGGGAGCTATCAAAAGATGCTACTAATGTTGAGATCGGCTCTTTTTATAAGTTAAGCAAAGAGGTTTAAAACCTTTTAAACTAGAGGTTAAAAAAAAAAGGGGGGGGGGGAAAAGCCTGTGTCAGCATCTGGGCCACAAACATCCATACCTACTCAACAGAGAAAATACAAACGGCCAACCTTCCCAACCCAACCCCAGCCTCACGCTCCATTAAAACCCCTGTTCCTGCAGATCCGGATGCTGCTTAGACTATTCACTGCCAACAGTAGTCCTGAGTTGGAGGAGACAGCACACCCTGCATCTTCTCTCAAATGCCCCTCTAAGGGATGTCAGAAGGACGCTTTTCAAAGTGAGGTCCGGGAACTGGAGCTGGAGGAGGGGAGGCCCGTACTGTCCTGCTGAGCGTCAGTCCAGCTCGCACTCTTCAGTCCTTCTGCCAATGTTCAGGGAATATTTGCTTCACTGCCACACACTGAACATTACCCATCACCTCGGAAACGATGGTGCCCATTTGACAAGGAAAGCACAAAGGTGCCCTCCTACCCAGCACCGCCACACATCGATCGGGCGGCAGGACTATGGCTGACCTGCAGTAGAGCTCTGAAGACATGTTCCACACTGGCAAATTCTTCACTTCCATGCTTTATTGAAAGGTGAGTATGGGTCAAAGACAGGTATTGATTAGCAGGTCGTGTCTCTAGACAGTCACTTGGAGTTCAGAGCAGGACGCTATCCCATGCACTTCCACACAAATCCACTACTGCATGAAACTGACCGGGACTCTGCTCCCTCCTGTGGCTCCAAATCTCGTGTAAACATGATTTACTCTTCCTGCTACTCTGCTTACTCGCCCCCCTCCCAGCACCTCTTACACAGAAAATCTGAAACATCTCCTTCAGCTCTGACGTCCATCAGTGCAATCTGCTTTATTTGACATAAGGCAATAGGGACAGTCTCTTTGAATAGATTTTTGCCTTTTGGAAGAGCCAGGTAATAGTTTAATTTTTAAATCCACTTTTTCTTTAATGCCCTAACATGTCAAATTCCTCTTCCTTTCTGGTTATTCCTTGGCAGTCAGCAAGTGGTCAAAGATTAATGTCCAAGCAGACCCGTACCTGAAATAGAACACACGTGGAGGGATGGCTGAAATTATGAGTTTGTGTATTCTGTTTGGCAAGAACGTGTCAACAGGGAATATCCACCATAATAAATGAATGCAAGGGCCCTTGGCACTGAGGATCAAGACAAAATACTAGCAGACTCCAAGCTCTCAGGGAAATCACATTTTGGTTGACAGCCATGGTTTCCTATGCGCATCACACAAGTTAACGGGGGTGGGTGTTGATTGATGCTTTCATTTCAAGGCCATGTCCATAAAGGAAAATTTTACTTTGTTTTGTTTGGACCCTGCCAGGCTTTCCTTTGTGACGCTCACATGCACAACAAAGCCACACGGGGAGGAAGGAGGTATTTAGGCCAGGAGCCTTGGCACTGCCCAGTGAGGAACTGCTGGCATTTAATTCAATCCTATTTGGGGAAAACTCCCAACCTGCCACAGACCATGGGAGTGGTGAGCAGAGAACCAGCTCAGCTCCTGCATCTACACATGCCAACTGTCTGTACAGAGACAGTGTTGAGGAACCAAGGCACCACTGTCTCCACCTGAAAAATCTTCATAATTAACAAAGCCTGCACTGACCTGACGTAAGCGTACAGTCTCCCACCATTAACTCTTACCAGTTACATACACACTCGCAGCCCTGCTGAGATGGAGCTGATTGGAGCACTAGGCAGAAGGTTAAATATAAATCTAGAAATGTTACTAATTTCCAATCTCCCCAAAATGAAAATGAGGAAAATTCCTCACACACAGGCCTGATCTGAGGCCTCAGTACTGAAAAACGATAACCAGAAGCTGGAATAAAAATGCTTTCAGCTAAAATTAATTCCAGTCACGAGACTTGGATTGGATTAAATTTTAAAATCAAATTACAGCCTTCACTTTAATAGAGAGTCACAGCATGGCTCTGACATGGAGGAAGCATGACAAATGCCTTACCTTTAAACCCCTCTTCCGGCATACAAACTGCAGAAAGAAAAGAATTCCAGAGTGAAAGACTGCCTGTCAGTTAGTGAGAGCATGTCAAATGCCTCAAGATGAGAAGTTGAAAATAACTTCTAATTGCTTTAGTCACCGGGAATGGTTCCTTCTGAACCTATGGTAGCAATGATCTGATGACCTTCTGTCATCAAAGTCACACATGCACCATTTAGAAAGGCAAATGCTTGTGGCATGCTTGGAGACCTCACGGCTGACCCCTTGGAGCTCTCTCCTCCTGTCACTCACTCCCACATGACAGATGCCACTGTGAGATTCTGTAGTAATTTCTTCTGATATTTAGTTTCCTTCCTTTTTATTTGTTAAAGATTTCATTTTTTTTTTTAAAGATTTATTTATTACATATACAGTGTTCTGCATGCATGTATCCCTGCAGGCCAGATGAGGGCACCAGATCTCATTACAGATGGTTGTGAGCCACCATGTGGTTGCTGGGAATTGAACTTAGGACCTCTGGAAGAGCAGCCAGTGCTCTTAACCTCTGAGCCATCTCTCCAGCCCAAAGATGTGGGTTTTGTCTACATATATTTCTGTGCACCCCATGCATGTCTGGTGCCTGCAGGTATCAGAAGGGAGTTGGACCCCCTTGAACTGGAGTTACAAATCATTGTGAGCAACCATGTTGATGCTGGGAAGCAACCTGGATCCTTTAGAAGAAAAACAAGAGCTCCTATCCACTCCTAACCACTTCAGCTCTACTTCTGAGACAGGATCTCACACTATGTAAGCCAGACTCGCCTAGAACTTGTGGCAATTCTCCTGTCTCAGCTATAAGCATAGGCCACCACACTTTGCTTAGTTTTCTTTCTTATCTTAGCCTCTGATTTACTTCCAGTGAAGAACATCTGGCTCTTCTACCACCTGCACCACCTTGGCAATACCAAGTATGCCCCCAATGGCCACTGGTGCCTCCAGTTCCCTTGCTCACGTGCTCTCTTTTAGCGTCTGCTAACTCCTGCATTAACCACTTACTTTGTCTCTTCTGCATCCTGCTGCAGTAATCTGGTCAAGGCTGCCGCCATCACTTCCATCATCCTTGTAGAGAGCTCATCCTAAAACCCATGTCCAGCCCCCCAAATCTGGACCAATGCCTATACTACTTGCCATACAGCCTGGGCTCAGAAATCTCCTCGTACTTCCTGTTCCCATGCCTGGTCCCAGTAACTTCCTTCTTATTCTACCAACCCTTTAATAGTCCATCCCTGCATAGCATGCTGGCAGGAAACTTCAGAGGCTCTCTGTAGGTTTAAGAGCCATCAGGCATGTGAGCAGACTTGGTCACCTGAAGTTCCCACCTCGATCCAGGCAAAGCATCACTAGATTCTTCACTATGGCGCACCCTTAGACAATCAGGTTTTATTCCTATGAATTCTCCCCCCACCCCCCACAAATGTCCCTTACTTCTATATGTTCTAGCTACCCATTTATCTGTAGTTTCTGTTTAGTTCATATGAAAAGTTCGGTTATATAGCCCAAACTGGCTTGAGGTTGCCAAGTGCCGGGACTGCAGGCGTGTGCCACTATGCCAGCTGTTTGTACGCCATCCTTGAGCTTTCCAGTGCGTCCTACATTATTCTTTCTTAGCTTGTTCAATGGCACCCCTTGTTTTCATGTTCTTAGTTTGGTCCTTCGCTGTCATGTGACTCTAGCTGCATATATTGAAGCTATGAAGTGTAAAACTAACACACTTCTAAAAGCTCCATCACAGGGCGCCAGTAGAGTCAAAACCATCTCAGGAGATGACCTAGGAAACTGACTTTCTTGTGTTGGCTTGTTTCCCTGGAGAGGGATACCCTGGCCTAACTAGGCAGGTTGCTGGCACTGGCGCAAACGGAGGGCCAAGGGGCCGCCCTTCCGTTTGGTGCGGACAGGCCTTGTTACAGCCCCTCCAGTGCTAACTCGACCCATCTCCTAGAGCTACAGCTGAGGAACCCGATGCACCAGGGGTGACACAGATGTGCTGTGACTGAGTGGCAAGCGAGCGAGCGAGCGAGCGAGCGAGCGAGGACAACGTGGTGCAGTTGTGTGACTGCTTCTCACACGGGCGTCCACCCTCGAGTCGCAGGGCCCCTGCTCCTGTGTGGGTCTCACTTCCTCTTTCTTTACCTCTTTCCTCCCCGGCCTCACCTGTTTGTTTCCTCATGTTAATAAACAATGACTGTTCCCCCTGCTTTCCATTTCCAAACCCTTACCCCATACTATGACAAACACTGGGAAATTCTACCTGAAGAGCATGCAGTAGCTCTTTTTCAAAGTTAAAAGTAAAGCCCGGGGCTCTTCAGCTTCTGTCTATAACCCCATATCCAAAGCTCATCACCAAGTCCTGAAAGAAAACTGGTCTTTACCTTGCATGACATCATCCATTGCAGCATAGTCTGCAATTGGCTCATCAGCCTAGAAAACAAACAGAGACAATTCAGAGCGACATGGAAGGAGGGGGTCCATGGTTCCAATACCGGTCCCAAAGACTGTCCCATACCTTTCTACTCAGTCCTAGCCTTGGAAAAGTAAAGTGGTACTCCCAGTCTACAGAGGGATTTTTACTTGGAAAAGACGGACCTGTCTTGGCTGGAACAAGCTCAGATCCATCCCTCGGGGCCAGCAGCTGGGCCGGCTCCTTCAGCAGGAGTCTGGTTCACAGGTGGCTGAGGGACAAGGTTCCTCACCCATTCAGTGCTGCCTAGCTTTGTACAAACAACAGGCACTGGGCAGGAAGAGGCCATGCTCAAACTTACCAAATGCCCTGCCAACTCTAGATGGCTTTGGCATTCTGTGTAAGCAGAGCACTGCGTTCTTCCCCCTAAAGTCACAAAACATGCCCACCCAGGACAGCAATCTTTGGGATTATTCTACCACACAATGCACTGTGATTGGCACAGCAGGGTCCTTCTAGCCACGAAGAAATGAAGCAAAGGGAAGGCACAAAGTAATAAGCCCTTGGGAGGGAGAAGATCAAGACTCCTTCTCTAAAACACATCCAACACCTGCTAAATTCAAGGCCAATTTCCATCCTGGAAGGCCATTTCCACCACTCTACCGGGGTTTCCTTTGTGACAGAACCGTGGACCTCAGCACTCCTCTCTTCCTTACCAGCATGTACAGGGTGTCGCTAATTCCAAAACCCAAAATTTTCTTTCTGAGCTTGTATGAGGATGTCTGGAGTACAAAATTCCCATACCCAAACTCCTTTCATGGGCCACAGGTACAACACTAAAAATTACCTCCAGGCAATGTATATGGGGTATGTATGAAACATACCTCATTACATGTATGCAAATATTTCAAAAGTCCAAGATCTCTGGCACTAAGCACTTCAGACAAGGGACCCTCAGTCTGCTGTGGATATCGTTCTGTATAAATAAAACACTGATTGGCCAGTGGCCAGGCAAGAATTAGGTGGGACAAGGAGAGGAGAATTCTGGGAAGTGGAAGGCTGAGTGAGGGAGACTCTGCCAGCCGCTGCCATGACAAGTAGCATGTGAAGATAAGCCACAAGCCACATGGCAAGATATAGATTTATAGAAATGGATTAATTTAAGATGTAAGAACTAGATAGCTAGAAGCCTGAGCCATTAGGCCAAACAGTTCACACAATATAAGTCTTTGTGTTTACTTGGTTGGGTCTGAGCGGCTGTGGGATTTGTCCTGACTGTGGCCAGGCAGGAAACTCTAGCTACATCAGTCCACGCCTCTGAAGCAGTACATAAGTGGAGGCCACTCCACTGTGCTATACTCACTGTGTCTAGGGCTATCTAATGATCTCACAAGAAGTCCTACTCTCCTCAATGAGATTTTCATAATTTTGTGTCCTGGCTAGTCTTTCGGCAACTTAACACAAACCAGAATTACATGGGAAGATGAACCTCACTTGACAAAAACAGCTCCATCAGCTAGGCCTTTAAGGAAATCTGAGGGACGCGTAATTAAAGACTGATATGGGTGGTGCTGTCCCTGGGCAAGTGCTCCTGGGTAGTACAAGTAAGCAGACGTAACTAAGCATGGCACACATCTCTGATCCCAGCACTCCAGAGGTAACAGTAGACCTGTGAGTCCCAGGCCAGTCAGCACTACATGGTGAGACCCTGTCTGGCTGGATAGGACATGAAGTCTAAGCCACCACCGCTTCGGCCACTAGGCGCCGGCCTCTAGCTCCTGCGACTCCTTCGTGATAGACTACAACTGTAAGCGGAAATAAATCCTCATTCCCAAGCTGCCTTTGTGGTCATGGTGTTTAACACAGCAATAGAAATCTAATAACATCTTGTTAAAACGACAGAAGGAATTGTAAGTATCGACAGTCAGCAGTCCCTATCTTTGGCTCTTTCTCAAAGAGGGGAAGCACTGCAAAGAAGCCACACTTTTGAACCCCCCCCCCTTTTTTTCCCGGTTTTAAAGGGTAAACTCTGCATCCAGCTAGTCCAAAACAAAACAATCCAGGCACAGTGGTGCATGGCTGGAATCCTAGCACCCAGGAGGCTAAGGCAGAAGGCCAACCTAGGCTATATAGACCCTGTCTCAAAACAAGAACAAAATAAGCAAACTGAAAGGAATGTGTGTACACAGGGCAAGTAAAACAGAACGCAAGAAAGGAGGAGGGGGGCTGGAAAATCATAAAAATCACAAGAATCATAACCAGAGACCAGATCATTGAGTGTGGTGGTTCCTGGGCTGACAGTCAGTCCTGGTGCTGACCCAAGCTCAAGCCTTCCCTGCCTGAGTGAAATCAAAAACAGTTCTATGGTCTGTAGAAGCTGGTTTCTTCTCAGAGACAATCAACCTGGAGGCATCAGGTGGGGATAATGATGTTCTTCACAAGGCTGTCTATCTTAACTTTCTATAGCACAGACACCAAGCCACATAAAGATCCAGAGAGGACCAAGACGAGATTTCTCACTTTGTCTTTAGGGTACAGGAAGCAGTAGATCACCACAGCCTATGACGATTCACGAGGAAATGTGCTGACCTCCCCTCAGACTCTAACAGAGCTGGATAATAATCATAATGGAGCCAAAGCTCCCAGCCACTGAGAACCCCTGCCCTTCAAGACTTGCGTTCCTTCACCACTGGACATGTTCACTAACCAGGGATGCAGCTCTGAAACCTGAGGCCACAGCTGGACAGCCGTTACTCACCTTTAGTAAAATGACAGATTCAGGAATGACGCCGAGGGTACCAAGGGTGGCACAGTCATCATTTAAAATCTTTCCATCAATTGACAAATTCTGGTCAAAGGGAGCGACTGAAAATGCATGCATGATCTGTGGCGATACAAAAGAAACAAAGTCTATACAAAGAACATCACTGAGCCCTCTAACACCCTGGAAAACATAAAACAGATTGGAAAAACCACAGGGGGAAAAAATAAAAATCAAAAGGCCCCAAAGTACAAAAGCAGCCAGCCCACTTGCTGCATTGCTAGAGATTGTCCCTAGGAGGCTGAGCCTTAGGAGCTCAGAACAGAGACAATTATACATTCAGGTCACTTGTTTCAGTGTCCTGTTGCCTCCCCAAGTCTATCAGATGGAGCTCAAAGGTAGGGCTATGTTGTCTGCCCCCACACTTCATCAAGATCACCCCATTCCCAAGCTGCCCTACATCATTTCATAAGCAAGTACATGTTGTCACTCAAAACCATTTCCATGAACTAGTCCACTTAGTATGAATGCTCATTTAAAAACATTTTTAGTCTTGAGTTGTCTGGTACCTATAAGCCCATTTATAGAGGAGTTAAAGCATGAGGACTTTCTGAATGTAGGAGTTCCAGGCTGGCTTGAGACCCCACCCCCCCATTTCAAAACAATGAAACACTCACACACACACACATCAAAACAAAACAAAAAATAAATATGGACATTTTAAGTTTCTTTTTGTTTCTTAAGACAGGGTTTCTCTGTGTAGTCCTAGCAGTCCTGTAACTTTCTCTATAGACCAGGCAGGCCTTGAACTCAGAGATCCGCCTGCCTCTGCCTCCTGAGTGCTGGGGTTAAAGTTGTGCTCCACCACTGCTCAGCTACATTTTTCACTCTTTAGCAAGAAGCTTGAATTGTGTCATTCAGACTGAGAACTGTCATATATTCTTAGACTCACTCAGTGTTGAGTATCTGAAAACCAAAATATAATTTTAGGAGGGCCACATGCTTTACCCCAAGGTTGGCCAAGTAACAAAAGTCAAACACATTCCAAAACACTGACACGTTCCTTCAATATCTTTTCAGATTCAGTAAGTCTAAAGAGAATTTAAGCCAGGCTTCATGGGGTAAGTCTTTATTTCCAGCCACATGGGAGGCTTAGGATCAAGATGAAGACCAACCAGCCAGTGTAATTGAGATTCTGTCTCAGTGATAGCACATTCATCAAGTATGTCAAGGCCCTGGGTTCAATTCCTGAAATCACAAAATAATTAATAATGGTTTCAATTATTTCTGGATAATAATTACACCCAGAGGGTAGAGGGAAGTCTTGAAAAGGCACTCAGACACCAACAGTGACACTGTTTCTATTCTTTTGTTCTGTTTTTTCTGAGACAGTGTTTCTCTGTAGCTTTGGTGCCTGTCCAGGCTGACCTTGAACTCAGAGATCCACCTGCCTCTGCGTCCCATGTGCTGGGAGGTACCACCACCACCCAGCTCTGTTTCTATTCTTAACAGGAAAGGTAATTTTAATAATATTCACTTAAAATTTATAATCAAGTTATTTATTTTGACTTAGGGTCTTACTATGTATAGACCTAAATGTCCTGGAACTCACTATATAGATATGCTTCCATCCAACTGTCAGAGATCCACCTACCTCTGCTGAGATGAAAGGAATGCATTATCATACTCAGCCAAGACATACCCTTCAAATGTATTCTTTAACACCCCATCTTAATACACTGTCATCCAGCTTTCATGCTTTCTTCTCCATAGAGGCAGAAATATGGGCCATCTGTACAAAATCAGTCCCTAGCTCCCTGTGCAGCAACCAAGGGCTGGTGTGATGCTTACCACAGCAGTGACTTTAATACAGCCTACAGACAGAAACCCTGGCCAGGTAAGAATGCTACCTGAACTTCTCTCCCAGAGATGCCGTGGGCATGGCACTGCCAGTGATCTTCCTGAAGCAGCAAGCTCTTTCCTACCTTTCTACTGTGACAGATAAGCAGACAAGGCTAACTCTGCCAACTAGCACACCAACATGGAATAGGTACATGAGCACATCCAGCAGAGTTCAATGGAGGTAGGTGATACTGACTTCATACGGGGAAGGTCACATTCATTCCCCTCAACATCAGACTGCTTCTTCATATCCTGAAATATTCCCACCATGAGCTGGGACGAGCACCAAATCCCTTGAGACAGCAGTACCATCTCTGAGGGGTTAACACACTTACTACCTACAGACAAAGACATGTAAGTGTGTTCAACAATGAATGTAGCATTCATTAAGTGAGCACATGATAGGCACTGTGCTAGATACTAAAAATATACTCTAGAACAAGCCCTCCTTCCAGCAAGTCTCCAGGATAGGTGGTACAACAGTCCTTATGGGGTGACACAATGTATATATATGCAGGCTCTCTCACAACACAGGGGGAGAGACAGTCAATTCTACCACAAGGGCTGAGGTAATGTGGCACAGAGGAAGTGCTGGGAGAAGAGACAAATCAAGACAGGGTCCACGGAAAACAGCTGCCCAGCTGCGTGGGCCAGCACAGGGCCCAAGTGTCAGCACCCAGTGCGGGGGGCCTGGCGGGGGCCTGGCTTCCTAACTGTGGCGGTCCAACAGCAGAGCATGCTGCCAGACTCCCACGATCCACATTACTAAGGCAGGGAAGTGCAGGAGCTTCGGCCACTTCATCCTTTGCCCAAACACTGCCCCTTCTGAAGGGCCGATGACATATAACATCTCTGGGGAAGTCCACTTGGCACTGGACTTAGCATGAGTTAGGATTGGATCTGATTATTTGTTCAGAAAACCAAACCAACAGTAGAGAAGCATTACTAAATTATTGGATGAACAATAACTACACAAAACAACTTTTTTTTTAAATTTCTTTTCAAGATGTACATATTTTATGTGTATGAGTCTGGTACCTGCATGAATGTTAGGTTCTAAGCAAAAGCATATGGTAAAGCACCTACAACCATGGGCTGACACTGTGGCACAGTGCCACCCAATTCACCTACAGCAGTGTGCCCAAAGGAAAAGCTCCTTCCTACATTAGAAAATAAAGTGCAAACCTTTTTTAAAAAAGCACCTACCACCAACGGAGAGCTACATGCAGGCCCACAGCGCTGAGGCAGGAGGGTCACGGCTGCTCTTAAAGCCACTACTGAGCAGCAAGAGGAAATTCCAGCCCACCACCCTTTCTTTCAGTCCTGTTTGATTCACAGCACTCTTTGAAACAAGACTGGGAGATGAGAGGAAATGCCACAAAGAAATTAAATAGCGTGTGTGTGTGGGGTTCATCTGAACAGCGGTTCATCCATGCAGGTAAGACTCTCGCGGGTGGAGATGTTATTTCTGCTGCCTTCTGATTTATTCTTCAAAAACAGTGATCCATAATAAGAGCAGCACAGGCTTTTAGAAGCATCCTTGTCCACAGGGGCTCTTTTTGTAATTTAAAGGGATTGAATGCTCGAGGTTTACCACTGACAGGCAGAAAACCGGTGATGGAAACAAGCCTTCTCAGATGTAAAGGGCACAACAACAGAGGAAGATATTATGCCAACACATTTATTTTCAGAACAGTGGGTTCAATCAAGGGAAATGCTGTTCTTAGGACAATCTGGGACACATAACACCCTCAAAGGAAGCCTGTACTTTTGCCTCAATTACGATGATAAATATCAGCAAGAAAACGGCATAGCCATGAAGGCCGCCACATGAAGGCAGCAGACAGGGAAGCGTGGTCAACTTTGGAGACCCAGCAGTGACTCAAACCACAGGGGCCAGATTGTTTTTCCTGGACATCTTGAATTTATCAGCTCTTTCTGCCAAGGGCTTGAGACATACCATTGCAACACACACTTAGGGAACTTTTACTGATACCAAGAAGTGATACCATCACAAAGAATCTTGGGTAATTGCCTGTGTTAAATTACCTTATGGATTTGCAAGTGAGTCTATGTAAGGAGCATTTAAACAACAATTTGGAAAACACTACTGTATAAAAAAGAGGTAATGATGACTTAAGACCTAGAAAACGGGTCCAGTGAGATGAATGGGGGTAAAGGAAATTTCCGCCAAGCCTGATGACCCAAGTTTGATCCCTGAGATACACATGGTAGAAGAGAACCAACTCTCATGAATGGTCCTTTGACCACAAGTGCACCACAGCACACGTGCCCATATACATATCCACATACAAAATAAATACATACAAAAAATAAACATATTCATACACAAAACAAATAAGTAAAGAAATATATAGATGTGAAAACATTCTAGCAAGTAGGTAATATGTTACTTGCTAGAAAACCAGAGGCATAGGCAGGAGGGTTATTTATTCTAAGTTTGATTTCAGTCAGTCTGACCAACATAGGATAGGCAGGAGTAAAAATAAAACAAACCAACAGTAGGAACAGAGGTATTAACAGACACTCTTCTTACAGAGACTCACAGTTGCCTGTAAATCCAGATTCAAGGGATCCCTTACCCCTCTGAATTCCTTAGGGACTGAGACATATACACAAATATGTGGAGTGCTGCCTGGTTTTGTCAACTTGACACAAGCTAGAATCATTTGAAAAGAGGTAAACTCAATTCAGAAAATGCACCCATAAGACCGGGCTTTTTCTTTGTGAGTGATGGGGCCATCACTGGGCTGGCAGTCCTATGTTCTATCCGAAAGGGAGCTGAGCAAGGTAGCAAGCAGCACTCCTCCATGGTTTCTCCATCAGCTCCTGTTTCCAGGTTCCAGCCCTGCTAGAGTGCCTGTCCCGACTTTCTGCAGTGATAGACACATTGTGGGAGTGGAAGGTGAATGAACCCCGTCCTCCCGAGTTGTTTTATCATGACATTTCATCACAGCAATAGTAACCCAAAATAGGACAGCTGGTGAGATGGCTCAAGCCAGTAAAGACGCTCACCATGTCTTATCGTCTGCGTTAAATCCTAGTACATGACTCAAGAAGAGAACGAATTCCCCTAGAGGAAAAACTGTCCTCTAACTTCTACCATACAGACCCACATGCACACAAAAGCAGCAAGCAAATGTAAACAATGGCAAAATGTTTTTGTACAAGTTTGAGGCTCCAAGTTTGATCATCAGAATCCACATTTAAAATGTGGGTGTGGGGTCTGGAGAGATGGCTCAGCACTTGTTACTCTTGCAGAGGACCGGGAAATTTCCAGCACCCACATGGAAACCCAAAATTGTCTATAACTCCTTTGGGCTTCTGCATGTACTTGGTGCATATGTAAAAACTCAGAAACACACACATATAAACATAAATTAATTCTGAGTGGGCTGGAGAGATGGCTCAGCAGTTAATAGCATGTTATCCTTTTTGCGGAGGACCTGAGTTTGGTACCCAGCATGCATGTTGAGCAGCTAACAACTGCCTCTTATGGACTCTACAGGCATTTATACTCACACGTACACACAGTCACATATAATTAAAAAATAATTTAAAAAACTACAAGTATGGTAGTGTATACTTGTAATCCCAGTGCTGGGAAGACAGGGAAAGGTGGATTACTGGAGCTCTGCTGGTGAGCTGGCCTAGCCCTATAGTCTCAAAAACGACATAGGCCCTTGAGATGGCTCAGTATGCAAAGACACCCACTGTTACATGGTATAGTTGACCATACCTTTGGTCCCCAATCTCAGGAGGCAGAGGCAGGCAGATCTGTGAGCTCAAGCAAGCCTCATCTGCACAGTGAGTTGCAGGCCAGCTAGGTTTATGTACTGACGCACTGTCTCAAAAACATATATACATACATACATAAAGCCCTAACAACAACAACAACAACAAAAAAAAAAAAACCAAAGTTGAGTTTGATCCCTGGAACTCAGGTAAAGATATCTTCTAATCTCCACATATGCACCAGGGCGCTGTTCTCTTATCACCCTCATTATATACAAAACATAGACACATACCCCAATAAAATTTTAGATTCGGTAGCTAAGAGTACTTGATGTTCTTGCAGAGGACCCAAGTTCAAATCCTAGCACCCACATGGTGATTCAAAGCCATCTCTAACTCCATTAGAGACATGGTTTTCTCTTCTCTTCAAGCACCTATGCGGTCCACATGCAAGCAAAACATTCCTACACTAATATATAAATCTAAAAAAATAAATAAATAAGATGGGGGAGGGGCCAAGGCGGACAGTTGCTGACCTTTGGTGGCCACACTTGAGTGCACGGACACATTCCTACGGAAACACAACAGCGAGAACAACAACGAGCTTCTGACCGTGCTAACGAAGAGCTCCCGTGTTGTCTGGTTCCCCGTGGCAACCTACTCACACTCCTTTAAGTGCGCAAACACCAGCCACCAAAGAACAATTATTCTAGAAGAACCTGAGATTCAGATGGAGTAACAAGCTCTCTCGAGGCCTCCCACTTGAACACGTTCGTGTTCATATGGCTACTTGCACATAAAGACATTGGTTACCGTGAAAACTAAGTCTTTATTTTTTGTTTTTGTGTTTTTTAGTTCCAGCTAAGATTAAGGTAGATTGTAAGAACCCTCTGGGAAAGATGGTCTATGTCAAGTGCAACACTGTTAACACCATGGGCGACCTAAAGAAACTGACAGCACCCCAAATGGACACTTGCTGCATCAAGGTCAGAAGTCCTGTCTCAATGCTCCTAACAAAAAAAGTGGTACATGCTCTTTAAGGAGCATGTTGTGTCTCTAGGATCTTATGGGATCAGTGCCAGGATGGATCTGGAACTTCACTACCAACAGAGAGGAATACTTAGATGCCCTTTATAAATTAGCATGAATGGTCAGGCATGTGTGTACATGCCTTTTTAATCCCATCACTGAGGAGACAGAGGCAGGCAGATCTAGTTCCAGGACAGCCATGGCTACACACACACACACACACACACACACACACACACACAAAACCATCATGAAAAAACAAAAACCAACCAACCAAACAAACAAAAATCACATTAATAAGATTAGTTAGTTAGCTTGGGGGAACAAAAAAAGCCCTCTCGCTGGCTGACTCCACGAGCAGGCAGGTTAGTGAAGTCTCGGCCGGGAAAGAATGGTAGCTATATAACATCCACTTCCTCTCACCTGAATCTTCAGTTCCTTTAACGTCTGATTGGCTGACACCAGCAGTGCCTTCTCCCCTCGCACCTTTCTGTGCCTCGTGCTCCGCCGGATGACCTGCTTCTGGTAGGCCACGTAGCCCTGTTGAGACGTCTTCTGCCGCTTGGCACCTCCATTGCTCTGCAATAAGATTCCCAAGAGAAAACCTGTTTGGGATGTTCTTCAGCAAACAGAAGCTAGATACAACTTGAAACCCTCTGACCACCAACACAGTGAGTCCAAGACTCTACAGAGACTAGTAGCTTCACATACAGTGTGTGTGTGTGTGGGGGGGGGGGGGAAATTAACTTTAAGGTGGTGCATGCCTTTAATCCCAGCCAGGCAGATCTCTGAGTTCGAGGCCAGCCTGGTCTACAGAGCAAGTTCCAGGACAGGCAACAAAACTACACAGAGAAATCCTGTCTCGAAAAACAAAACAAAAAAAGGAAGGAAGGAAGGAAGGAAGGAGAGAGAAAGAGAAAGAGAGAGAGAAAGGAAAGGAAGGAAGGAAGGAAGGAAGGAAGGAAGGAAGGAAGGAGAGAGAGAGAGAGAGAGAGAGAGAGAGAGAAAGAGAGAAAGAAAGAGAGAAAGAAAGAAAGATTAATTTTAACTGCCTCTAAGTAATTTAAATGTTTGGTATAAGAAACATTTAAAAGAAAGTTTCACCTCCAACCAAGGCAACAATAAATTACCAGTTGTGGTGACCTTCCTCTAGTCCTAGCACTTGAGAGGTAAGAAAGGGATTCTGAAGGCCAGCTTAGGGCTATACAAGGCCTGGGGCTGGGAAATGGCCATCACTGCCAAGCCTGACATTTAATATATTTCATCTAGCTCTCTTGCTGCCTCCCACTTGAAGGCAAGTGTGTATGCGCACAGAGCTAAATATCATTTGCATGAGGAGACATCGGCTATTTATTGTTCCAGTTAAGAGGTTGTCACCACAATGATCAAGGCAATTTGCAACAACCATCTGGTTATTCCCCAGGACCCACACAGTACAAGGTGAGAACCAACTCCTGCAAAATGTCTGACTGATCTCAACTGCATCCACACATATACACAAAATAAAACAAATGCATTAAAAAGTTGAAGTTAACCAAAAACAAAACACAAGCCAATAAATTGAAATTACAGGACTCTGTAAATAAATTCTAAGTTGTTTTATACATTTTCTTCTGGGAGGGTCAGCTAGTCTCCAGCTCCCTGTCTCACTGGATGCCCTTGACCCCAAACAACCCTCCTGTTTCCACCTCCAAGTGATGAGATTAAATCAGCATGCCATTCTGTCAAGTTTATGGGACTGGGGATAAAAAGCAGAACTCCTGCATGCAAGGCAAGCATACTGCCAACTCAGCCACATCTCTGACCCCTTCTTTTGAGAATGATATAGAAGTAAATACCAACTAAATTAAAAAATCAAACTAAAAACAAGACACTGTGCTTGAGTCATATCAGTGGTGGTGAGAGGAAAACTGCTTCAACTATAAAATAGTCTTGTGAAAACTGTGAAAAATAAGCATAAACCAATGCTCAGGCCCAACTTGCAATTTATAGAAATGTATAGACAAAATAGTTAAGAAAAAAAAAAAAAACCTTGTCTAGATCGAAATCACCCAACGTCACCCAGACCATGCCAGTTTGATTAATCTGAGGTTGAGAGGGAGTTGGTGGACACAGGGAATGATGCCAGCTAGCTTCTCTGAAGCACACTATAAGCATCTCACTGGAAGCTGTGTTTACCTCTGGAATACACAGAATCAAGTATTTACAACATCATGATATTGTAACTGACCTGAACATTCACAGGAGGAGTACAGGCCTATATATGGGTATATGACACGGGCGGTACCAGTCTTCAGAAAAGAGAACAGCGAGGGGCCAAATGTTCTAGAACATTTTTTTGGGTCTGTTTTGAAAGTGTCTCATTATGTAGGTCTGCCTTGAACTTGTTATGTACTCCTAGCAGTGGGTGAGCTTGTCTTCCCATAGCTGGGCTTAATATGTGGTGGTTCTCTACTTACGAACGCCTCAGAGGCTAACAAGAAGTCAAGTTTGCCTGCTACAATGAAAGTGGGATTTTACAAAATGTCTTTTCTCTGGTTTAATTATATCTGGATAAGATAACTGCAGCTTTCCTCTGGCTACCAAGATGTCACTGAGTGTCAATTGGAGTGAAAAGGGGTGCTGGGGCCACTGTGAACACATGTGCTTTGCACAGTCTTAGCAAGGACCTGGTCTCAAAAAGCTGGTCACTAGCAAGGCTCTGCCCACTCTCAGTCTGAGCTTCCACACCCATGAATGTGATTCTAAGATTCAAAAGAAAAAGATTTCAGTGTTGAAATCTGCATCCAAGGTGAATACTCGATTCAACTGTGAAAGAGGGGTTATCTACAGACAGATGATATCTACTGCATAAACTCAAACTTACCTCATGCCTCACCCAGCAACTAACATCTTTTCAAATTGATTTTATGAGGATCTAAAAGCTTTTCCTGGAATTATTTTTCTTTAACTCATCTAAACCCACTAAACCCAGCACACTGGTTGTTGTTGTTCTTCCAGCCACTGGTTTTAAAGGCTTTCAGTTACCTAAGTGATATCCACTGAGTGTATCATTAACCTGAATTTTAGATAACATGGGGAGAACTGGGTTGATCTGGCTTAGAGAGGGAAGGGGATTTGCTCAACTCCATTAAGGAGCACTAAGGCCTCCATTTATGGCATGAATTTACGGCAGTGCAGCCATCCACACCACGTTCTGAGAAAAAAAAGGGGGGCGGGGAGGAGACATTCTGAAGATACTAGGTATCCCTAGGGACTAGTTACCATGCTCTAAACAGAGGGTTAGTATTGAGATCCCCACCCTGCTCTAAACCAAAAGTATTTAAAACATTCTAGAGTATTACAATATCCAAACATGGAGAAGGGAGATGGAAGAAAATTATAATGTGTACAAAATAATTATGGCGTAAAAAGCAATGTTCTCCAACATTCTGCATCATCATATTTATACACGTGAAATCTGTTGCTATCCACAACTGAGACAGAAATTCCACGTCCACCTGAAACATTGCTGTGGTCATGACCACAGTGAATAAAACGGGATGTGCATAGAAACAGTCTGCCTTTCAAAGTCTGAATCACATGGAAATGTGGAATTTGCTAAACAGCTCTTAGGCGGAAAAGTAAAGCTGGAAACAAAGAGCAAAGTTAGGTCTGCATTAGAGCCAGGCAGAGTGGCCATACCAGCAGCCCCAGTGCTCTGGAAACCAAACAAGACAACTATGGGATCAAGGCCAACCTTAGTTACGTGGCACATGCAGGGCCAGCAAGACTGTGTCTCCAAAAGGAGAACAGAGACAAAGAAAACTTGACTCCTTCATCACAGGAGACATGACAGCAGACACCAACACAGATCTTAATAGGGCAAGAGGGCACCTCAGTTAGAAAACTCTCAAACTGAACCCAGCATTACCACAGAATGCAAAGCCACCAGCCACCAAGCTTAACAAAGGAAACTAAAATGGGCCCGCCCACTGTCAGAGGGTGGGCCTAAAACTGTGGTTTTCTTCCTTCTTTGTTCTGTTTTTTTTTTTTTTTTAAGGTTACAGATTCCAACAAGGCATGGATAACAAATACTGGCATATCCTTCCACACACTGGGTAACTATAAGCAACATTTACCTTGAGGCAACCAAGACTTTAAGACTATAATTTATTTATATTATATGTGAGTGCTCTGCATACATACCTGCATGCCAAAAGAGGGGCATCAGGTTCTATTAAACATGGTTGTAAGCTACCATGTGGGTGCTGGGAATTGAACTTAGGACCTCTGAAACAACAGCCAGTGCTCTTAACCACTGAGTCACCTCTATCCCAACTGGAGATATTAAGAATAAAGCAGCTGCCAGTCAGTGGTGGCACACGCCTTTAATCACAGAACTCTAGATTTAGAGGCAGGTGGATCTCTAGTTTGAGGCCAGCTTGGTCTATAAGTGAGTTCCAGGACAGCCAGGGCTACACAGAGAAGCTCTGTCTCGAAAAAACTGAAACTCAAGCAGCAGTGTGTGTGTGTGTGTGTGTGTGTGTGTGTGTGTGTGTGTGTGTGTGTGTGTGTGTGTGTGTGTGAGACAGACTAGCAAGTCCAGAGACCGTTCTGCGATGAAGAAGGCAGAGACCATTCCAACAGGGGTGGAGCAGAGTGTAATCCAACTACTCTCTTAGGATAAAGATACTAAAAGACAAACATCAAGTAGAAATAAATCCCAAGGTTTTTAAAGGATGTGGGAGCACACACATTAAACGCAGCAGAGGCAGAGGGAGGATTAGAGGCCCAGGAGAGGGAGGGGCAGAGGAAGACAAGAATCTCATAAAATTTGAACCCAGTCCAGCCAGGGACACAATGTAAACCCCTGTTAAAAAAAGAAAAAGAATAAGGAGGGAGGAGGGAGGAGTACGGCTGACGGTGAGGTGTGGCAGCTGCAGAGATGACTGGGGTAAAAAAGCACTTACTGTTCTTCTAGGACCCACAACTGGTTCCCAGCATATTACTAAGAGGCTCACAACCACTTGCAACTCCAGTTCCATGGATCCAGTGCTCTCTTCAGGCCTCTGTGGGTACCGGCACTCACATGGTGCATAAGTATATGCACTCAAAAATATACATACACATAGCTTTCTTAAAATGTATACAGTGTTCTATAGAATATAAAAGGAACACAGTCATCTGTTTTCCAGAAGCCAGAAGCTCATCCACATTTCCATCCATACTTTCTGTTAGAATAGTTTTCTACACATTAGAAGAAATTTTAACAGGAGCCACCCTTTGGGCTTTGTTTTGAAACAGTCTTGGTTCACAGAGCAAGCTCCAGCACAGCCAGGGCTACACAGAGAAATACTGTATTTAAAAAAAACAAAACAAAACAAAACAAAACTCCAAAACTCCCATAATTACGCATCGTACCAAGATATGCATGTGTCCTGTTTCAGTATTCTGCCCAAAGTGGCCTTAAAGTCCCAGGTGGACAATCCTACTACAGCCTCCTGGGTGGTCTTAGTCACTGCCTCGTTCAGCACTTTTTGTTTATTTGCTTGTTTTGAGACAGGGTAGACCTGTTCTGGAACTCTTCTAAGTAGACTAGGCTGGCCTCAGACACACAGATATCCACTTGCTTCTACCTCCAGAAAGAATGTTCCACCATATGCACCACCATAGCCACCACACCTAGCTACTTTCTTAAATGAATTCTGGAGGGTATGTAGTCTTTGTGTGTGTGTGTGTGTGTGTGTGTGTGTGTGTGTGTGTGTGTGTGTGTGTGTGTGTG